GGTGGATGATTAAAACAGCAAGGGAAAAAAACACTGTAAGACTTACAACAAAGACGGGACCAAATCTAAGGGTCACATCCCAGTAAACAATCACCTAGCAACACCTTAGCAACCACCCAGAACACAATATCAACCACATACTGTAAAATCATTCTAAAAGCGATTTTTAGCAGCTTAACATATAACAACATGACATATGTGTGTGTGTGTGTGTGCGTGTGTGTGTGTGTGTGCGCGTTTTTGTGACAAATGAGGACATAAATTTGTATAATGACAAAGGTATGACATAGGTATTACAAGGAGAAGGTGACTTTTCAGGACATTACCCCATGTCCCCACTTTTTTTTACGCTTATAAATCACACAGAATGGCTGTATGAGACACCTTGAGACTTCAAGCTAATAAAATACCTATGCAATTTCCTACTCATTCTGTCACAACTACAGTAAATTACTGTAAGGTTAAAAATACATTCCCTGTACATTTCCCTATTTTTTAAGAACCTATAACTGACACAACAGATCTGAAAGACGTAGTACTTAAGACACCCACTCATAAAAACCTTACCTGGAAATAGACAGTCCAGTACGGAATGAGGGCCAGGAAAACAGGAAGTATTTTAACCAACACTTTCACTTCCTCCACCTTCTCCTCTGAAAATCGCCCACCGTATGTCACCTTAGCACCATCTAATAGAGATGGCTTTGGCCTTGTGGGGGAAACAAAGATTTTAACAAGCATTCATTAAAACATCACTGAAATATCTGAGTACATCTGTGTTTGAGAAATAAAGTAGAAAAGATAAAGAAAAGAGCAAGGATTTGACCAACTTAAAAAATAATAACGTCACATATTTTCATGAAGCGCCTTTTCTTTGATTTAGAGAGAGGGCACAGCACTTGACAGTAACTTATGCCGCAGAGACACGATGAATAGCACCACAACATACGAAACAGACAGACAAGAGAAATGGATGAAAGAGGAAGATGAGGGATAACATTACAGACTAATAGAGTCATCTGGCCGCGTCCACAGAGGGCAGAAGCCAGGATCCGGAACATGTCACTGAAGGCACTGCCGTCTGCAGGTTTGGTTATAAATACCGTTCTGCCCAGGGCAAAGATGATGAGGGACACCCCGAGGCAGACGGCAGGGATGACGTAGCCAATAAAGAAGCTAACGTTCTGCTGAATATAAGCAACTCCACCCAGCGAGAAGATAGCACCCAGATTAATGCACCAATAGAACCAGTTAAAGAAACGCCGAGTTGCCTCCGGACCTCGATCCTTCACCTGTAAAGACATACAACACAAATACACATGTATGAACTTTATGATCATTAATTAATTTTTATTTACTTGTTTTATTAGTTTTAAATGCATATGAACAACTGACTGAAAATTCCCCTAATATTAATATTCAAATCACTTTTGAATCCATAATAACCAGTCCTATAACTGGTTCAGTATCAAACAAAAACATAACACATTAACATTTAATACCCACATTCTTCATTTAATTCAAGTACTGATTTGCAATTTACTAAATGCATTTACAAACTTGTGTGAAGTTTCTTCTCAAGTGCATGCATATGCTTTTCTAAAGAGATGTCTGCTCTCAAAAAGCTCAAAAAACATGCAGCTGTAGTCATACAATCAGAGATATAGATCCCCAACAGTTTTGGGAAAAGTGCCAATATATTGCCACTTGTAAGCCAATATTCAGTTCATTGCCCCACTTCCTCAATGTTTAAATGAGATCTATGCCCCATAATGATACCCAGATGGTACATCCTGCAGTTAATTTCTTTATTGAATCTAAAAAACACATGACGATCATTTGACAAGGCAGCAAGTCAACAGACATCAACACTGGCCTAATCCAAG